TTTCAAGATAAATTTTGATCTATTTTTTCTTTATTAAATTTTGTATAATATCCATCCGCTCCCATTTAATTTTCACATATTATAAAAATAGTTATTCTTAAATACTCGTCAACTTTTAAAAATTAAAAGAAAAGTAATTAGTTTTTCAACTTTGTCGTTTTAACATTAATTATTTTGGGATTAGTAGATTAGTAAATGAACAAAGATCAACATCCGGATCCGGTATGTTGTTGTTGTTTATTAACAGTTAGGACTAATAAATTATTTGACGTCATTGAGAATATTTGATAACTGGTTTATCCGAGTTTTACAAGATCGCTGCGATTTTTGCCATGAATTTCGTTTAACTTCATCAATTTTACTAACGATCCACTTCTCCGTTTTACTCCTTTCATTCACTTTTACTATTACCAAATAATGATTAATATGAGTGATATACTAAAATACTCATATTAATTAATGTATATTAAGTCTTGAAAAATTATTTAGAAAATAAGAAACTAATATTGCGGGTAAAATATGAGGAAAAAAAATATTTCTTCTATCCCAATTTTTACGATTCATTTTTTTAGTCAATCCAAAAAAGAATTATACATATTTATTTTTGGTAATAATTGAATTTTAAAATCCCTATTTTATCCATAATGAAATGATATGTAGTCACACAAATATGTATGACTTATTTTAGACCACGAGTTTCAAAAAAAAAATTATTTCTTAAATTTCGTGTCAAATCAAATTACTTCACATAAATTAAAAATGAGCAAGTATATTTTTCTCTTATTATGATAAAAGTGACAAGCAAAACTAAACATCTATTTTTAGCCGAGGAAATGAGTAACTAAAAATAAACTAAGGGAGTACTCTCCCGTTCACTTATTCCTAAAATATATTTTTATTTTTACTTCTCATTTTTAACGTATAAAAAAAAGATAATTATATTTTTTCATGTTTTACTCTCAACATTAAATACTCTTTTTACAAATCATTTTTCAAGACTTAATACTAAAACTCACTTAATAAAGATAGTATGGTAAAATACATGTATTAATAATTGTTTTCTTAATGAGTGTGTCAAGTCAAACAGTAACAAGTAAAAGTGAACGGATGAAATATTTTCCAAACATAATCTAGTTAACTAAGGGCCTGCTTGGTCATGTGATATGGAATCATGATATGATATCATAATATGAAATCATGAGATGAAGTTGAAGTTTTGTTTGAACATGCGATATGGAATTTTTGTGTTGTATATTTTCTCATAAACATAAGAATCCCATAAATTGTAAACCTATTAAATAGCCCCAATTATTTTTTCAATCTTATCAAATAAACAAAAAATTATAAAATCGCATAATAAATTATTACAAAACTATTTGTTCTCCCACATAGTACAAACAATTTTCTCACGTTGAACTTGCATTCTTGATCATATGACCGAGAAGATGAATCAACATTGTTACTATGAGCCTTTTGTTGGTCAATATCATTCACAACTATATTTTCATGTTCATAGACCATAAATATTTCATCACTCCTTTGGTATTCTCGCAAATAATTATGTAACACTGTAAATGTTATGACAATTTTTACTTGTGTGTCAATACCAGATGGTTCCTGCCTTGTTTCACTTGTGTGCAATTAATATTTTCAGTGCATTAATTTCGTGCTAAAATCAAACATATTGGAAGTAGGAATTATCAAACATACATCACCAATTTTGTCATTTTTCATATTAAATTGCTTTAACTATTTTCATACGTAGCCGAAAGAGAATTTTTTTTTATTATGAAAAACCTAAAGAGTATTCCTCCCTCCGTTCTTATTTATACTCACCAACTCAATTCCTACTTTATCATTTATATTCACCAAATTTAAAGCAATAATAAATTTCATGTTTGTGAGAATAATAAATTTAAAAAAGTAACGATGTGATTATTAATTTTACTTACACATGAAATAAATGGCTAGTAGATATAAATGTGGAGTTGTTTTAACAAAATATAAGCTTATGTGTCAACTTTTGTATTTTAAAAAGGGAAAAGGGACAAATATACCCCCGAACAATCGTAAATAGTATGTAGATACCCTCCGTCATACTTTTGGGACATTGGTGCCCCCTGCCGTCTAAAAACTAGAGCATATATGCCCTTCATTCTAACGGAAGACTAAATAGGGACACGTGACACAATCTTATCCATCGATTCGATGTCGGGTCGATGGATAAGATTATGACACGTGTAACTCCGTTAGTATAGAGGGTATATATGCTCTAGTTTTTGGACGGCAGGGGCACCAATGTCTCAAAAGTATAACGGAGGATATCTGCATACCATTTACGATAGTTCGGAGGTATATTTGTCCTTTTTCCCTTTAAAATTCCAAACCATGATTTTTGGAGAATATGATATTTCATCTCATGATATGAATTATGAAATCATGAGATGAAATCGCATATCCAAACGCTGATTCCATCTCACAATTCCATATCATGATATGGTATCGCATGGTCAAACACCTACTAAAGATATTATACCCAAACACTAACCAAGGACCATACAACACATGGCAAAAGAAAACAAAGGGTGAGGACTTGGTAGCCTTTACTGAATGCGTATCAAAATCAGACCTTCTAATTGGTCTGCATCTGAATACCCCTTATCCAATATCCTTATCTCCACCACATATATGTGAACAACAAATATGATTTCTCTTCTCACCCACACTTCAATCTGCACAAATACTTGCTACATTTCCCCCCCAATTCCTCAATAATGGCCATGGCAACTCAAGCTTCCCTCTTCACCCCTGCTCTCTCCGTCCCCAAATCCACCGCTCCATGGAAACAATCCCTCCTATCCTTCTCTACTCCTAAGCAACTCAAATCTACCGTCTCAGTAACCCGACCCATCCGGGCCATGGCCGAAGAAGCCCCAGCTGCCACCGAAGAGAAACCCGCTCCAGCAGGATTCACCCCACCTCAATTGGACCCAAACACACCTTCCCCAATCTTCGGTGGCAGCACTGGTGGGCTTCTTCGCAAAGCCCAAGTAGAAGAATTCTACGTCATCACATGGGAATCACCAAAGGAACAGATCTTCGAGATGCCAACAGGTGGTGCTGCTATAATGAGAGAAGGACCCAATTTGTTGAAATTGGCCAGGAAAGAACAGTGCTTAGCTCTTGGTACAAGGTTGAGATCCAAATACAAGATTAACTACCAGTTTTACAGGGTATTCCCCAATGGTGAGGTGCAATATTTGCATCCCAAAGATGGTGTGTACCCTGAAAAGGTGAACCCAGGGCGTGAAGGAGTTGGTCAGAACTTTAGATCCATTGGAAAGAACAAGAGTGCTATTGAAGTCAAGTTTACTGGGAAACAAGTGTATGATATTTAAGGTGTTGTATTTTGTGCACTTTTTATGATATTGTAATTGTTAATGATTTTTGTGATTATGTAGTGCATCCTTTGAATGTAACTTTTATTTGACACTACAAATACAACATGGATCCTATTAAATTTTTCTCTCCTATTGATACCATGTCTATTTTTTAATTACTCCTCTGTTCATTATTGTCTATGTTTGACTTGACACACTCCTACAAAACAATAAATAGAATAATAATTTTATTATATTTGCTTTGTCTTGATTTTTTAAAATTTGACAAAGTTAAGACAATTATTTTTAGTATATTGGAGTTGGACAAGTAAAGATAGATGGAGGAAGTATTTATTTTGTTATGCTTTACTTGATTTGAAAATCTATCAAGACACTCTTTCTACCATCATAAGATAAAAATAAGAATACGCACACACCACCCTCCCAAATATATCTAACTTGTGGAACTTCAATGAATATGTTGTTTCAAAGTAGGATTAGCTAAATTTACTCTTCTTTTTTTTGTCACTTTATTGACGAGTAGTTGATGGAATCATGAGGATTAAAATGAGGATGAGTTTTTTTCGGTGAATGATTACTCTTTTAAAAAAAATATATACTTCACTTAACTGTAGTGAAACTTAATTTTAAAATTGAAATGATTTAGAGTTCCATGGATGATCTCATTAAAGAGCTCTGAGGAGAGATAAAGAGAAAGGAGAGAAAGAAGGGTAAAATGAATATCATTCAATAATGTCTACAAGTCACAACATTGTTCGGGGTCGTTTGGTAGAGTGCATTAGAAAAAATAATGCATGCATTAGTTTTGTGTATTACAAGGCATTACTAGTGCCTTGTTTGATCTCTTTTCCTTTTATGAATTACAATTTACATCAATATGTCAATAATGTTTAGATTAAATAAGGTCAAATTGGCGGGTCAGGACCCAACCCACTTTTTAGGTCAATTTACCCCAAAATAAATTTGGACGGATCATGATTCAGTTTTTCATTTTAATCTCTCTACTTTCGGCCCAACTCGTACATTTGACACCGCTGGATAATATATGATGCAATCTTGATGAAGCTTATGCTGATATGTTGAAGCCTCCGGGCCTCTGAGTTGCTTAATTCATATCGTTAATACATGACAATGTGTGTCATGGTACGTATTTTGCTGAAACTCCATTATCTTTACCTTTAGCAAATGCAAAGCTTGTAGTTTTGGGGTGCCAATCACAAACCCTCCCGTTTTGGATCGTGACAAATTCAAATTTGGATTTAACCCAAACTCAAAATATTCTATCATGTTTACAATAACATTACCTTCAAAACAGCTTTAACCAACACAAAGTTCTCGTCGGAAAAGCCGTTATAAGATTTGTTCATACAATGACTCTTAAATAATGAAAATACACTACAGAATTATTATGAGATTAACGTCATCCGATTATTAATTTGTAAGCAAACTATAGCTGCTATTACTGTATACAGAATTTCTTTATCTTTTTGGGGTTGGTTGTGTTAGTTCAGTCTATCATATAGTCAGATGAACCTTCTAGGAACAAGAGACCAACAATTATGTTAAAACTAAAATAAAATAAAAGCAAACAAACAAGTATAGAAATAAAGCAGAAGCTATTATAAGAAACAGCTTTTCTTGATCTGGGAGTGCAGTTACACTAGAAATGGCATCAAAGAAGATAAATGACTTAATTACTACTAGTTCACTATGGTCACATAAATTTGGAGTACAAGAACAATCATTGAACTGCGAAGGATGATAGAGATAAGAATGAAACGCATTTGCAAGACTTATGTAATGTATGGACTGATCAGCTGCAAGTGCCTTGTTTCAGCAGCATCCTCCGCTGAAACAAACAACAAAATTATCAGGAAGATGGAGCCGAATAAAAGGAAGGAAATCTCTTCTAGTTGGATACTTTAGCCAGTGATGCTGACGGAACATGAAAATCTTGATCTACAAATGAGAAAAAGAAATGGCTCCAAAAACACGCAAGAAATATTTCAGTCATTTAGGCTCCATGGATATCATACTCATATGTAGGACTTTTAAGTCAATAGAGCAAAATGATATGAATGATATACGTTATATTTAAGCTTCAAACAGGAGCACATTAAGAAAAGGAACCTCAATATTGGTACATCTATAGGTTTTATGCAAATGGAGAAACTTACAGCACTATTAGGCAGATGAAGAGACACGCTAGTGCACACCAGGCAGCCATCCTTCGAAGAATTCAACTCCATCCATCGGTGGAGGAGATAAGGCGCCAAGGGGTGTAACAGTTATCTGTAATTAAGGGTAATAACATGTTAATGATGAGTCATTAGCGAGAGTCGTCAAATAACTTCCATCAGGTAAATGAATTGTACATACATATCCTTGTCGAAGGAAAGAGTAATCATTATCACCTTCATCCATTTGTGTTCCCCTAACCTGGGAAAGATAGCATAATAAATTTAGTAAGTGTAGGTAGACATTTTACCAAAAAAAAATAATGTACAAAGACAATTACAATGAAGCAATTTAGATTAATCAGAAAAGGAGTTGAATCCATAATATTCAAACTGTAAGACCTTGAGTAGATAACTTGCTTTTTAATGGCTATAAATTTATACTAATGTAATTGTCTTTTCACTTGTGCAAATAGGCACCGTTGCAATTGTTATTGCAATAGAAGAATGAACAACAGAGAACTCCCTCAGACAGTCATCTCAGTGGAATGGGAAGTAAAACTGAACGGCAATTAAATGAAATATGGGAACCTATGACTATTTACATCAAAAAGTTCCTCAAACATACAAATATCAAGACTAAACTTTCCTTATACCAATGTATTAGGTATATTAGCAACCCATTCTGTTCATCAAATGATTTTTCTTTTAGACCTCTTGTTCAGAGAGAGACAGCTAAAAGGCACGTATAATCTACAGTGCACTGATTCAAGGAAGAAAACCTAGAAGAAAATGCTTCAAACCTCTCACCTCTCTCCCCTCCGAAAACAAGCGAACTGGAAAAAGAACTTAACATAGAGAATATGCTGAAAAATAACATGAAGGGTAAGATGTCCAATATTGTGAGTGAGACCAGAAAAGGGTATTCTGTAGCATGAACTGGACAAATGATTTGAAAAGGCATTGATTAGAGCAAGGGATGAAATGCATTTGTGTGATAGCATAATCGAAAATTAAGCAAATAAGTACTATATAGAAAAAGAGATAATTACTTCTCTCTTAAATATTAGGTGTTCTTGTCCTGTGCTTAAGGTGCTCTCTTCCACAGATGCCTCTTTACTAGCTGATGAATCCATTGTCATTGTGGATAACATTCTTCCTCCTTGTGCTTCTGAAACAACTTGCCTCCATCCCATTTTGAAAATAGTCTTGCCTTGCTTCGTCAGACGATAACCCTATCAATATAACAATCAATGTCTTTTTGAAGTCAATAGCATATCTATTTTGGCAACTGTTGAACTGTGTGTCCATCTCAACTAAAAGCTTAAGTTGTTAGAGGGAGTACACGTAATTATAGTATGTCCCAACACGCCCTCTCACATGCAGGTTTTTTTTTTTCTTCATGAACCAAACATGTGGAATGACAACAAATATCTCCAATCATCTTAGTATTTCTACAAGGTAAATCAAAAAAATCTTTTATTTATAAGGTAAATCAAAAGATCTACTCCTTATACTCCTTTCACTATTTTGAAATAATCTCCTATTTCTTCTTTCTAAAGTGTATGTTTATGGCAATGGTACAAAAGCTGGTTTACCTTGCAATTGGCAACATCAGCTGGTACATCTATGTTAAGAAAGCAATTTTGAGGATAAGTATTATTCTTGATCTCAGTCGATATAGCTGTAATGATTGGCATGCAAGCTTCAGCGGCCAATACGAAATCATCATCCTTGCTTTTTCCAGCAACCCTGAAGTTGACAAATCACATTGAAGAAGGAAGAATTACAAAGTAACTTGTCTTTGTGCTAACCCCAAGACAGGATAATGTGATGTACTATACCATTCATATGACAATGAGACAGAAGGAACACCATTGAAGAAAGCCTCTCGTGCACCAGCCACTGTCCCTGAGTAAACACTGCATCACCAAAATGGATCCATTAACATTAAGCAGCCCCTCGTATTACTATAATACAACAAGGCAAGTCTGCTGAGATGTTATTAAATTAGTACAAATAGCTGAATTAGGAATTACTGCAAATCAGAAAAAGAGGTAATAATTGACAACTTCATGTAGAAGGATCTAAAGGCAAGATACAGAAATTTTACTTACATGTGATAACCGCAATTGCTACCCTTATTAATACCGCTGACAACCTGCAAGCATAAATTGACATGAGTACACATAGTGTAATGCGATGATACATATTAGGTTTTAGTACACATGTAGCCTGTAGGAAAAGCTCCAATGCAAACTACTTAGACATCTATAGCATGGTTCAGCATTAAGTATCAGAAATAGCTCCAATAGAAAGCCCTATCGGCAAATTAATTGTTAGCTAGTTATCACAAGTATCAGAAACGGGTCTACATAGCTGAAGAGGACCAAATGATATACAAAAATTCTGATCTCCCATTGTTTCTTTGACTGGACCCTTGCTCCTGATTTATTGAAGGAGTATCATCCCAGTAGGGAGCTAGTTCACACATATTAGATACATCACTGGGTATGTTCGGAAGTTTTCTTCAAGCTTTTCATGGTTTACCCCTGTTTACAATAGTATTTTTGCATTCATTAATTTTTATCTCTAAGTAAAATTCACTAGTGAAAAATAATATTTCCTCTTGTTTAGCTGGAAACCAGTAAAACTTGTTCATCTTTTTGAGAAATTAGGATAGTAAAAGAGGAAAAGAAGTTTCAGTAGCCAGTTTGTTTCTGAAAAAAAATATTTTCTTGATTTACTACACACACTGCACGTATTGACAGATAGTTTGAGCAACAAGTGTTGAAGCCAAGTAGTATGGAAAGATTCAAAGCAATTAAAAGTTAAAATCCTTCAACCTTGCGAACACAACAAAAGCAAATCAGTTGCGTTACAAGGAAGAAGGAAACAAGAACTAAATGAATTTAACTTTTGTTTTTACTGTGTAACCTTTAATGTAATATTAAGCTAAATGAACTTTCTCTGTTAAAATAGAAATTTCCGACGAACATATATGTGACGAATGAAGCTAAGAGCTATATGACTACATCATAGGGAGGCAGAATAATTTGTCAAGTATTAGTTTCAAACGCTACCAGATCAGGTACAAAGGGGAAGAGCACTTTGGAGATCCCGATGGAAGTGCAGTCTGCTGGGGTTCCTGCCAAAAGGAAAGCAAAACGAGTACGAGGGACAGAGAGTTATGACAACAAGTTATGAGAGTACCCCCAAAAACGTTATGCTGAGCAAGCAGTATCATTCTGAATAATCAGCAGTTATATTTCAAAGTAGAAAGATATGAAGGAAAAAAAAAGAAGAGAACAACAAAAAGTAGAAAGATGTCAATTTCCTTCCCCAACACCATACGAATGAAAAGATGTCAATCCCCCATGTTTCGTCCAGTAAGTTTAACATCAGTACAAAACTGTTGCTTGCACTTTTTTATCCTTTTGGTAGAGTAAAGCAAGAGAATTGTACGACTCCCACCTGGAACTGGGGTTTGAACTAATAACAGCATTAACTGAACAAAAAATTCAGAATCTTGGTAAATCAAAAGTAATCTCATATACATTTGCGGATGACAACATGTTAATATAGTATGGCATTAAAGGAAAGTGAATCATGAATACCAGATCTTTCTACCCAATGGTTCAAGTTCACAACAAAAATGTATGAAATGATCTATGATTTTAAAGCATTGCGATAACCAGTGGCGGAGCCACCTTACAATGAGGGGGTCATCCGACCCCCTTCGGCAGAAAATTATATGATTTATATATGGTTAAAATAATTTTTTAGGTATATATAATAGATGTCGACCCCCCTTCGGCTACTTCGTGTGTCTATTTTTTTAGATTTTGAACCCCCTTACTGAAAATCCTGGCTCCGCCACTGGCGATAACCCATCAAACAGCCCTTTAATAGTCACCGTTCAACAAAGACCAGAATACAGGAGATAAAACTTTAACTAAGCTAATTCTAAAAACATGAACCATGAGCCTGGAAAAAACTAAAGTTGTCTACTATATTCGAGATTCAAACGAACTATGAAACTTATTAGCTTATTTACAACCCTGACTAACCAGAAACTGCAAAGGCTGTTGCTCCACTGATGTCCACCTTCTTGACGGAAAGAGGGTGTTGCCATGAGACACAATGGCTAACAGCTGATTTTTCACTGGGCAAACAGAAATAAGAATGTCAAAAATATCATTATGGATCCAAATAGAGGTTTATAGGAACAAGAAAAATTAGTCTTAGACGTCAACCAATAACCAGAGAGAACAAAGGGAGCACAACAACAAGTATAATCCCACAAGTGGGGTTTGGGAAGGGTGATATGTACGCAGACCTTATCCCCTACCTTTGTGGGTTAGAGAGGTTGTTTCCGATAGACCCTAGGCTAGAGAACAAAGGGAGCACAGTGAAGTAAATTAACAGAGAATGAGCTTCCCAGAACTTTGATGTATCTATCAGGTCTCTAGTCTTTTCTCTTCTTTTTTTCCCGATGAGTATTTAAATCAGATATTTAATTTCAAACTATAACTATGACTTCATATCAAGAGCTGTGGTAGAGAATATCCAATAAAATTAACGGTTTCAACATGTTTGTTGATGATCATAATGATTGCAATTATTAATGAATTTCCACAAGTGGACCACCAATTTCAATACAACAAGAGTAAGAGGCAGCTGGTCTTACGTACAAATTCACAAAATTACTAGACGTAGGAATCGGTGTAAAAGAAATTAAGGAAGGATAAGTGTTGTAGAGAAAAAAGTCTACGAAAATATTCTAAAAGGAACATTCTAGAGCATAGTAATAAACATCCTCCACTAGACCTATAAGTAGAGGTGATCATTTTAGTAGGAGCGAGCAACAAACATAAGAGCGAGTGTGAGTGCAAGAAAAATTGCAGGTAAGAATTGTAAAGGTCTTTATTTTGCTATAACAAAAATTCAAGTTGTGAACATCGTACAAGTTTTTGCCATGGAATCAAATTATCAGGGACACAAGGAAGAAAAGAAAAGGGAAAGAAAAACAACAAAAAAAATTAGCAATTTCAAAATAGACCAGTACAGCAATCGTAAGAGGTACGTAAAATAGAAGCTAAATTAGTGTAGATTGAGAGAGATAGAAACCATACGAATCGGGAGCACAAACGAGGACATTGAAGAGATTAGAGGAGACAAGAACGCGAACAAGAGATCTCAAGCCGGGAGCATCAATTCCGTCGTCATTTGTGATCATCACTGACGGCTTAGACTCGCTGTCATTCTCCATTGAATTGTTTTGTGCTTTTGAATTGGAGTTGAAACTGAATGCAAACAAAAGTTTTGAACTATTTGGGTAATAACAAGCCACCACTTGGCACTATGGAAAAGGTTACAAAATTACACAGATTGGTGGAAATCCGTAGTTGGAGTCTTCTCACTTTTAAAAAAAAATATCTCTGTCATATGATTGATTGGGCTTCTCTACCTTCTTTTTCTTTTTTTAATTGGAATTATTACTCAAATACAACTCTTATTTTATCATAATCTCTAAAATTTCTTATCATTTAAAAAAGGGAAAAGGGTTCAAAATATATTCGAACTTTGAAAATGACCTTTTACCCCCTGCACTATTTAATAGTGTATTTTAAAGGTATATATGTGTCCACGTGGATACGTTACAATTTATAATGATGCAATATTTATGATGTCCACGTGGAGACATATATACATTTAAAATACACTATTAAATAGTGTAGGGGGCGTAAAAAGTCTTTTCCAAAGTTCGGTATCATTACAACAATTTCGGTCATAGTTCGGATATATATCAGACCTTTTCCCCTTTTAAAAAAATATTCAAAAATCTCCTCTCGGATACATCACCTCCCTCTTGCTGATCTCTATCCTCTCGGATAAATCTCTGCCCTCCCTCTCGAATACATCCCTCTTCTATGTATCCGGATCCTATCTCCTCGGATACATCCCTCGGCTATGTATCCAGATGTCTACTGATGTATCCAGAAGTGCAGTGGCGTATTCAAAATTCAAATTTTAAGGAATTTTTGTAATTTGAAAAAGTGTAAGGAAGTAATGTAATTAGCTCTTAAAAATATGATATTTATGTAAATTATACTTTTTTTTTTTTTATTTATTTATTTTAGGATTGATCAAATTGCTGAATGCTGAGGTCATGCCCAACTTAACTTTGCATACTAACTTTTCTTTCCTTTTTTCACCTGTGTATGGTGTTTCGATCTTCGATGGTGAAACAGTCTCAACACTACATTACAAGTCTATAACTCATGTTAGTTGCTTACCTAACTTTGATGACCTAATTTTTGCTTATTTTTAAGGGGTGTGATGAGTTTTTGATGACGTAAGTTTTTGCTTATTTTTAAGAAGTGTGACGGATTTTTGATAATCTAACTTTTTGCTTATTTTTAAGGGGCATGATGAAAAATTCATTTTGTCTTCGTATTAGTAGTTGGAGTCTTCTCACTTTTTAAAAAAATATCTTTGTCATATGATTGATTAGGCTGCTCTACCTTTTTTTTTTAATTGAAAAATTACTCAAATACATGTCTTATTTTATTATAATCTCTAAAATTTCCTATTATTTAAAAAAAAATTCAAAAATCTCCTCTCGGATACATCACTTCCCTCTCGCTGATACATCTATATCCCTCTCGGATACATCTATATCCCTCTCGGATACATCTCTCCCCTCCCTCTCGGATACATCCCTCTCATATGTATCTGGATCCTATACCCTCTCGGATACATTCCTCGGCTATGTATCCGAATGTCTACTGATGTTTCCGAAAGTGCAGTGATGTATCCGAAATTCATAAATTTTAAGGAACTTTTGTAATTTGAAAAAGTGTAGGGAAATAATGTAATTAACTTTTAACAATATTAGATAATATGAGATTTATGTAAATTATATACTCTCTTTTTTAAGGATTTGATCAAGAGGGCATGCCCAACTTAACTTTGCTTACCTAACTTTTTTTTCCTTTTTTCACCTGTGTATGGAGTTTTGATCTCCGATGGTGGAACAGTGTGAGGCTCTCAGCACTACACTACAAGTTCACAACTCATGTTAGTTGCTACCTAACTTTGATGACCTAATTTTTTGCTTATTTTAAAGGGGTGTGATGAGATTTTGATGATGTAAGTTTTTGCTTATTTTTAAGAAGTGTGACGGATCTTTGATAATCTAACTTTTTGCTTATTTTTAAGGGGCATGATGGAAAATTCATTTTGTAGGTCATTTATAATATATTTTATTTTAAGTTTATATATTTTTAAAAGATCTTCATTTTTATTCATAAAAAGAATCTAAAAATTATATTATAAATAACTAAGAATCTTAATTTTTTGATCGATGTAACTTTTGCTTTAATAATTGTGATTTGGGTATGTCCAATTTTTTATCCTAATGAAAAGTAGTAACTTTTTGTATGATATCTTGAATAAAGAACTTCTGGTGCTTATTTGGCCATATGTTATAAAGGGATCTCACTTGCAGAGAGTGCACAAGCCTTTTCTTTTTCTAAAAATAATAATAATTGAAGATATTTAACTTTTCATGAGAATAAAAAAATGTGGAATGTGGATTATGTTGGGTTTAGCAAGAAGGTGTGAATGGGAAATAAAAAGAGAAAATGGAAAGTGGAAGAACCAATTAAAGTGGGGGAACCAATTTTTGAGGGAAAATGAAAAGTCATTGCAAAGTGCAAATGAAAAGTCATTTTTACCATATTGGTAGAGGAAAGGAAATTGTTATCCTTATATTAGGAAACACTTAATTTAGTTTTTAAAGGGTTAAGAAGAAGGTGCTCCCTCGCGTCGTCGTCGTCGCCGCTCGGCTTTGGATTTGGCAAATGATGTGATTGATAGCTTGAACTTTTGCTTTAATAATTGTGATTTGGGTATGTCCAATTTTTTATCCTAATGAAAAGTAGTAACTTTTTGTATGATATCTTGAATAAAGAACTTCTGGTGCTTATTTGGCCATACGTTATAAAGGGATCTCACTTGAATTATTTCAGCAGAGAGTGCACAAGCCTTTTCTTTTTCTAAAATATAATAATAATTGAAGATATTTAACTTTTCATGAGAATAAAAAAATGTGGAATGTGGATTATGTTGGGTTTAGCAAGAAGGTGTGAATGAGAAATAAAAAGAGAAAATGGAAAGTGGAAGAACCAATGAAAGTGGGGGAACCAATTTTGGAGGGAAAATGAAAAGTCATTGCAAAGTGCAAATAAAAAATTATTTTTACCATATTGGTAGAAGAAAGGAAATTGTTGTCCTTATATTAGGAAACACTTCATTAAGTTCTTAAAGGGTTAAGAAGAAGGTGCCCCTTGCGCCGTCGTCGTCGCTCGCTCGGCCTCAGATTTGGATTTGGATTTGGCAAGTGATTGATTGATAATATTTTTTGAAAGGATTTGTTCCTTCCGAAAAGTCGTTACTTTTCCCAAAAGACACAACGTTTTGGAAAAAACGGGTCTGAACAGACGCGTTCCTTGAGGCACCGCTGCATACATTTTCTTGAGGTACCACTACTTCATTAACAGGTTAATCCATTTTATCTTGGGAGGAATTAAT